TGGCGGGTCCGGGCTGGGGATTCGAACCCGCCACCTTAGGTGTATGTGGCTGGCGCCTTAGCCGGTTGAGCTATAGGCGCCGAGCCCTGTAATTCAATTTCTACCTCCCAACAAGGTTCCCTCCCCTTTGGCACTGCTAGAACAAAGGTCAAGAAACTTGAAACAGTACCGAAGACATTTGAGAACCATGTCCAAATCTACCAAGTAGGAGATGACATAAGGCTTGCCGTTGTCCAGGGTCTCCAAGGCCTGAGAAGAGAATAAGGTCAGCAGAGATATTTTGGTGTAGGAATGAAACAAAGCAAAAGGGCTGATGAATAGCACTGAGGCCTGACTGACTAGGTTTGGTGGAAGCCAAGGGTAAGTGGCACCCTCTGTGCCACTGAATGTTGTAGATATTTCTGGGCCATTGTCTTGGCCTCTGCAAAGGCATGGAGGAGGAGAAAGGGAAGCAGGAGGCACCAACTTCTCACTCAGTCCTTTCACAAACTTCTTTTAGCTTCTGCTCCCTGCCAGATCCAGGTGCTAAGAATAAGGAACATGGAGATTACAGAGCAAAGAGACTGCAAATAATGACACAAGTCATGGATCACATGTGTGGACAGCTATGCTCTATAGGAAAATGGCAGACTGCCCAGTCCCATCTAAAAATACCAACCAGAGAAGAGCTCTTTAGACTAAAGGCTGAAGGACACATAGGAGGCAACTAGCCAAAGGGGATGGCACAAACAGTAACGGTGCAGAGAGCACCCAAGCAGGGGAGCTGCAGGTACAGAGGGAAGGCTGAGCTAGGCTGGGTATGATGCCATAGTCCAGCATAACTCAAGTGATGGAGCCACACCAGGCAGGGTCTTACAGACCATGTTGAGGACGTTAGTCCTAGCATACAGAATGCCATGTGAGGCTTAAGAATGGAGTGCCATGGTATAATTTGCCTTTTTTTTTGAGACAAAGCCTCAAGCTGTCACCCTGGGTAGAGTACCCTGGCATCGTAGCTCACAGCAACCTCCAACTTCTGGGCTCAAGCAAGTCTTCTGACTCAGCCTCCCAAGTAGCTGGGACCACAGGCGCCCGCCACAAAAGCCGGCTATTTTTTGGTTGCAGCCGTCATTTTTGTTTTTGGCGGGCCCAGGCTGGATTCGAACCCGCCACCTTAGGTGTACATGGCTGGCGCCTTAGCCATGTGAGCCACAGGTACTGAGCCGCCTTTTCTTTTTTTGAGACAGAGTCAAACTCTGCCATCCTGAGTAGAGTGCCCTGGCATCATAGCTCATAGCAACCTCAAACTCTTGGGCTCAAGCAATCCTGAGTAGCTGGGACTATAGGCTACAGGCACCTGCCACAACACCTGGCTATTTTTTAGAGACAGGATCTCACTCATGCTTGGGCTGGTCTTAAATCCTGAGCTCAAGCAATCCACCTGCCTCAGCCTTCTAGAGTGTGAAGATTACAGCATGAGCCACCATGCCTGGCCTATACTTTGCATTTTGGAAGGTTCACTTTGGCTCCTATGTGCATGTCAGATAGGGGAGGGGAAGGTATTGCCTTCTGGTTTCTTTGCCTCTTGTAGACAAGGACAAGGCCACCAAGAAGGGGCTCAGGGAGTAGTGTCCATCCCTGGGCATCTCTCTCCTGGAAGGGCCTCCCCAGTATAACTCTTTTCTCCCTAACCCCAAACACCACCTTTCTTAGTCAAACATGTGCATCAGAGGAAACTCTGAGAGGCTCCTCTGGTTGGCACAGGGCATACCCTAAAGGTGTCCATTCTATGCCATTCTGAATAGTCATATATTAGCAACATGGCCCCTATGTCTTCATAGGATGCTACAAGCCCATTCACCACATGTGACTGGAGGAGGAGAGAGGGTTGATGACTCACCGCCAGGTAGGTTCGGTCTCGTTCAATCAGATCAGCCAGGCGGTTCAGCAGCCGACCCCTGTAGGACGCATCCATGCGGCGCCAGGGCGAGCCCAGCTGGAAGGCATCCCGGGCAGCCTTCACTGCCCTGTCCACATCTTCCTAGAAAACACCCACAGAGGCAGCTCAGGCCTTCTCAGCAGGAACTGCCACTGAACACTGCACTACTTGCTGCCAAGCACATCCATTGGGCTGTTGGCACATGCTGCACAGGAAACCTGCCTCCAACAGTCCTTCGCGCCTCCTAGATAGGGCTCCATGTGACAAGCTGCAGAGTTCAGCAATAGGCCTGAATAATGCAACCTTTTCCCTCTTCCTTCCAGAAACTGGGGAGGGGGGAAGGGGGGGGCAAGAATCCTACAGGTTCTACATTTTTATTTCAAAACCCCCCAAAGAGTTTTGGAGGGAGAGGCAGCCAGAGGTCAGTGCTTAGAATCTGACTCCTAAAGAAAACAAGGCCAATAAAAAGATAACCGGCGTTCTCCAACAAATCCAGTTTTCACCGGCTTTCCCCTCCTTGAGGAAGTAGTAATCAACACAGCCATCATTTTCTATATCAGGAGATGTGAATCAGGAGGCAGGGAACAGAATTTTCATTCATGTTAAACATACTCACCACAGGTCATCCTCTAAACCAGAAAATCATTCACATTTGCTTTTAGCAAAGAAAGCAAGGGCTACTATACAAATGCAAAGAACTGTCTTAAAGCAGAGGGCAGGAAGCAATCCTGAATTATTTTTATTTTTTTATTTTTTTTTGAGACAGAGCTTCAAGCTGTCCCCCTGGGTAGAGTGCCGTGGCATTACAGCTCACAGCAACCTCAACTCCTGGGCTCAAGCGAGTCTCCTGCCTCAGCCTCCCAAGT